TAGAAAAATCGGACTACTAAGAAGAGAACTAGAGGGCAAGCTGATTTTGAGTGTTAGTGAACTTCTCTCAAGGTTATTCCAAGAGTTGTGGTGTTGTGTGAGACATTTGAGGCATCACACTTGAGGTGCTAGGCTCACAAGGTTCTCAAGGAATCCAAGCCACAAAAGGTATGTTCTTCTACTAGTGTTTTATGATTCAAGTACCTCATAACATGCTAGTTAGGAAGTAAACCTTGGAAAATTATTATATGCATGTATCTTAGAGAAAACATAGATCCAAGGTTTCTATGGTTGCATGTACACCATAGGAGTGTTAGAATGCTCAAAACCCATCAGTGGTATCAGAGCCTAGGCTTGTTTTCTTGATATTTGATGCAAACTTGTTTTTCAAAAACCAAAATCTGTCCAGACTGGAAAACTCGATGAGTTCTGGCCAAAAACTCGCCGAGTTCAGGAGTTAATACATGAACTCGACGAGTTCCTTATAGAAATCGACGAGTTTGTCTTCCAGTTTGCAGTTTTTCGAGTTTGGCTGCTGGAAATGGACTAGAAACATAACCATAAACTGTTTTGGTCTTATAAAACTTGTTTTAGATGGTGTAATGGTTATGTTAATCCATTTTCAATGGCTATTATCAAAATTTCAAGTTTTGTATGGTTTATTTATTCTTGAAATTGTTGATATGGATATTCATACACTTATGAGTTTAGAAGATCATAGGAATTATTTGCAAATAGTTTGTTAGTTTAATTCTTGATCTTGATGTGTTTAATGGAATCCATAATTTGTCCTTAAGTTATGGATTACCAAAAGTCACTCTTTTAAAGTCCATTAAAGAAACACATAAGTTACATGAAAATGAAGAGACTTCATTTTAATAAATCATTAACTCATAAGTTATGAAGTTGAAAAGTTTTGAAATTTACAAAACTTGCCCTCAAGTTTTGGAACTTGTAAAGTCTCACACTTTTTTAGAAAACTTTAATTCCAACCCCAAGAATTTTAGAAGTTAAAATTCAATCCTTTTACTTTATACTATTATAAGTTAACAATATATATATATATATATATATATATATATATATATATATATGTATAAGAACAAGTCGTTTTTCCGTTAGTAGGCCTCATTCACGAAGCCGGTCTATAAGGGGGGTATAAGGGTGTTGCCTATAAAATGGCAGCTTAATGGGTGTCCACTCTCACCCACCGCTTCCTTGACCGGTGGAGGGTCGTTAGCCGAACGGGTAGGACAATGACTTTAAATCCTCATTAAGAGTATGATGGTTATAAAGTAACTAAATGTTTTATAAATTCCCAATCTTAGTTACTTTAGGAAAAACGTGAATATGGTGCTAACCCATGAAATTACACTTCGCACTTTGCTTAAGTCGTGAGTGGAGCATGTGTGGTTAACCGGAACACTAACCTGGACTTAACAAGGTAGGAAAATGGTGGCTTAAGGTTTATCGTAGATCGGTGGAGCGTGTGTGGTTAACCGACACATCGATTAGGTGATAAACATTAAGAGTACCAAGTAATTTGCATGGTTAATTCACACATTGTTCTGTGATCCTCGGCATCCAATCTAAAAGTTCAATGAATCTCAAAAGAATCTAAGAGTTTCAAAACCAATTAAAACCTAATAAATTTTTTTTTCATGGTGGAAATTGGTGAATCGTCATTCACCTACCTTCAAATATTTTATAGCTTGGATTACGTCATTCCTCTTATAAGTTATAAAATATTGTGTTAGGTCCTAGCCTTAATATTATATTTTATAGCTTGGTATTAAGGACTATCTTTATATCTAATCTAAACTTGTCATTCTTTCTTTTCAGATGTCTTCCAACAATGTTGCTTCTGGATCAAACCCTACCGATTCCTTCTTTCTCATGAACTTTGTGGGAGAGTCATCTTCGATGGTTCCAACTTTATGGATTGGATCCGGAACATCAGGATGGTCACTCGTTACGAGGACAAGGAATATGTCCTCGACAAGGAGCTTAAGGAACTTGGTGAGTCGTTTGCTACTCCTGAGGAGATCGCTGAATACCGGACTCATGAGAGAGATGCCACCAAAGTGGCATGTATCATGTGGCCACGATGACAGCTGAGCTCCAAAAGTCCTATGAGGACTATTATCCTTTTGAGATGCACCGGGACTTGATGGACCGCTACCATCAAAGTGCTCGTCAAGAGAGGTATGACATCATCTCCTCCATGATAACAACCCGGATGAAGGATGGTGAACCCATCACGGGCCACATGCAGAAAATGAAAATGTATGTGGACTGTTTGCTGAAATTTAATGTGAACTTCCCCGAGGAGTTGGCAATTGACATCATTTTGCACTCCTTACCTTCTTGTTATGATCAATTTCGAATGACCTACCACATGAACAAGGAGGAAGTTACACTCAGCAAGCTTCAAGGACTTTTGAAGACCGCGCAAAGTGGTCTTAAAGGTAAGTCGGTTGTTACTACTCCTTCTCTTACCGCGGCCCTTGTCTTGGCAATTGGGCAAGGTAAAGGGAAGAAGAGGAAGAGCCCTTCGAAAGTTTTGTCTAATGAAACCTTTATCAAGAAGACCGGTGCTCCCCAAGGCGAGAAGTTTTGTCTAATGAAACCTTTATCAAGAAGTTCCTGCAGTTGACTCGAAATTTCTTGCATCTCAGAAGGGGCCAATCTGTTGTGGGATTTTGCTACTGGTGCTGCTCCTGGAATTAAGTCGATTCTGAATTCGACATTGCGGTCTGGTGGTAGTCCAGGAAGATCTTCTGGAAACACGTCGGGATAGTCACATACTTGTGGTATGTCTTTGATTTCTTTATTTTTGCTTTTCTTATCTATTACATGTGCCAAGAAGGCATAGTACTTCTTGTATAAATATTTTTGAGCTTTGGTGCAAGAAATAAGCTTTAAATTCTGACTCGACTTGTCACCGTAGATCATCATGGTCTTCCCGTTACTTAGAGTTAGACGTATTGCCTTTTCAAAACATAAAATCTTGGCATGGTGAGGAGACAACCAATCCATACCGATAATAATGTCGAAGCTCCTAATTGGCATTGGCATTAGATTAACAGGAAACATATGGTCGTTTAGAGTTAGGATACAATCACGTAGGATTTCGGTGGTGCTTTCAACCTGACCGTTTGCTACTTCTACTTCATATGTTACATCTAATTTACTAGACTAGTGATTTAATAGTTGTTTAAATGATGAGGTTATAGAACTTCTATCAGCACCAGAGTCAAAGAGAATCGTAACATATAAGTTATTGATGAGAAACGTACGAGTAACCACCGAGGGATCTTGTATCGCATCTCTATTCCCAATCACAAAAGCTCGACCACGAGCCTGGCCATCGCCTTTCTTCAGTTTCAGGCAATTCCTCTTGACATGACATGTATCTCCACATTCGAAACAAGTTACTCCTCCTCCTGACCCTGATCCATTTCCCCTGTCTTGTACTGCTGCAGCAAGTGTCGTGCCTCGACAAAAGTTTGCAGTATGCCCTTTCTTGTTGCATGCAGTACAGTGGAAACATTCTCCAACATGGTGTCAGTTGCATTTGGTGCATAGTGGTTTGTTTCCAGCATAACTCTTTTGTTGGGTATGAATAGGGGCCGGAGTCACAGTGTACACCTTTTTAATCTGTTGTTTCTTCTGTTGACCCTGGCTTCTTCCACTGAACTTGTGTTTGTGCTGATTATTTGCAGTTTTTGGGGTTTCCGCCTTAGCTATCATCGTCCCTTGATCAATTTCATTCTTAGTCAATTGAAATGCCAGACGCTTAGCACTTAGATAGGTTGTAGGTTTTGATGAAAGAAACATCCCCTTAATTTGAGGTGCTAGGCCCCAAATGTAGCGTTCGACTTTCTTGCTTTCGGGGGTCACCATTCCTTGGCAGAGAAGTGTAAGGTCGTTAAACCTAGTTGTATATGCTTTGACTTCAGCAGCTTTCATTTTCAAATTCCGTAGTTCGTGTTCAAACATCTGCACCTCATCTCGCGGAAAATATTCTTCAATTAACAGAGCCTTAAAGTTCTCCCAAGACATAGAGTTTGCTATTGAAACTCCTAGACTTTTTGCGTGATCGTTCCACCAAGTTAAGGCTCCATCCATCAGGGTACATGCGGAAAACTGCACTTTGCTACCCTCAGGGAAATAGCAGATCTCGAAGACTCCTTCCATATTTTCGATCCAGCGAGTTAGACCGATGACTCCCTTATTTCCGTAAAAGTTCTTCGGTTTGCAATTCATGAAGTCCTTGTATGAACAAGTCCTTTGAGGTTCTTCAGGATTTGAGTTGAGAGTGCTTCCGAGTCCGTTCCTGAGCCCATTCACTTCCACGATAGGCCTTCCAGAGTCCAGGTTCCTAGCAGTTGCCAATGCGATTGAGAGACGTTCAGATATTAGTAGTTCCAATTCTGCAGTGGTTTGGGGAAGCCCTGAGTCAGGGGGTGGAGGCATTCGTGTGTTAGAAGATGGTGTTTCTGCAACCGGGGTCACCGTTGGATTGGTTCGGCCTTTTCTGGGGCGTCCAACGCTCATTCGTGTTGTTGGTTGTGGAGTTGGTACACCTGGGTTTAAACGAGTGCTCTTTCTTGGAGGCATATTGTCGTCCTATAATAGTCAGTAAGTTTGCGGTGTTAGTGTTAGCCATTTTAAGATTTTATTTTGGAACAATTATTTCTGTTTGATTTTTTTATAGTAATTGTTGTTTACAAAATGGTTCATGTGATAGTTTGACAAGATTTTTAAACTAAATACATTATATATTTCATTTTAAACATTAGTATCCGTTTACATCGGTCTTTACTTGTACAAAATGTAAAGACCTAAGTTTTAGGGGTACAAAAGCGCTAAATTTTTCTATAGTACAGGTGAAACAAACAAAACTACCGTATGCTCACATGACCTAACATATCCAAAGAGTTACTCAAAATCTACAAGTTTAACAACTTGCCCTTGCTACAACCTGATACTTCTTATCACCAGAAATTCATCCATTGGGCCACCGCATTGGACAACTCGGTGTGCCTTGCAACCAATTCTGCGTGGTCTACTGCGAGCGTTGCATGCCTTTCTTCGAGTGTTTGATGGTTTTCTTCGAGTTCTACATGCCTTTCTTCGAGTGTTTCATGACTTTCTTTGAATGCTACATGCCTTTCTTCTATTCCATGTGCGAGAGAGAGAGCAATATCATTTTGATTCTCCATAGCAGTCATCCTTGAATTGCAGTTCATCCAGTTGCTATGGTGATAGTTCATTTTTTGGTGGAGGTTATCCAGCTCAATCTGCTGTTTTTCTTGTTGTCTCCCCATACGAGTCATTCCTCCTCTGGTCTGTGCTACCTGTCCCTGCATGGTGCTCAGTTCATCACTGATATGCCAGACATTTCCATGCAAGCGGGCATTTTCTTCGAATAGGAGAGACAAGTCGTCAATGTCCATGGGAGATGGAGGTGTCATTCCCGACGCTTGACCTTTCTCGAAAGTTCATGCGGTCTTCCTTTCGGATATCCACATGTTCACCTTGTTGCTCTCCCAAGCAGGTCGATCTACCCTCTTTTGGGTGTAGGAAAACCTATTGCTTTGTCTCAGAGTTGTGGGTCTCCGATCTGGGATTGATATCCTGGCAGTTTTCCTGGGACATCGACTTAGAGCTGTAGTGTAAGAGTAAATAGGGGTGGATGGAGGTGTGACAGATGATTCTGATTTAGTTATCATGATCACTTCGTCATTATCTTCCTCAGGATCTTCCTAGGGATCCTCTTCCATGTCCTCCTCAGGATCTTCTTCCTCGGGATCCTCTTCCATGTCCTCCGCAGGATCTTCTTCGATCTCGATCTCCTCTTGCTGTATCAGTGCCTCCTCGACAGGTAGGATAGGGTTGTATGCCACAGGGAACTCGGGGTAGTATGGATCTCCAGGGATTACAGGAAGCATGGGTTGGTTTGCTGGGGGTTGAACCAACATCCATAGTTCGTCCATCTAGAATGGATTTTAAAGAAAATATTAGAACCCAAGATACATCGATAAATATAAAAATATTACAATTATTTATTTGGTTCTATCAATTATGCGTGTCTATTGACTGGTTTTAGTTTCCTTAAAACTCCAAGCTTTTAGTTTATCAATTATTTCATTTAGGTTGGATAATGCACAAGGCCTGATCATAATAAAGCTTAGGTGCGCAAGCTAGGTCTAGTTGTGATAAAGCATATGTATTATGAAACCTATTTAGTTGATTGATCTAAATTCTTGTGTTTTAAGTTTTATATAATTCGTTATACACATAGATCAGTTTTTATAAAATCAATAATAAATATTAATTTATGTTTAATAAAACTCTATTTTTAAGTGTTTTTTTGTAGGATAACAGTATATCTATGCCTACTAGAGTAAGCCCTAGACAATAGTTGTATTTTTATGAAAATACTTAGTTCTCTATAGTCGTTAGCTCTGATACCAATCTGACACACCCCGATCGACGGCGGAAACGCCGGGGTTGCGACGTTTACAATTGGAACCATAGTCAACCACATATATTGAACATTCATAAATTAATATATTACAAACTTTGGTTTTGTAAACGTTATTACAATATAGTATTTATTCAAATACGAAACATTAAAATAGACCAAATTCATAATAATGAAGGGAACTACGATCTCCTTGAAAGCGATGGTTTACCTCCAACTTCTTAGTTACCTGAGAATACACATTTAAAATACGTCAACAAAATTTGTTTGTGAGTTCCACAGGCTTTGACTCCGTGAATTTTATATAAAATAAATAGATAAAATTTGGAGTATTTCAAAAAGATGTTTAACCCAAAAATATTACTAGTACAACCTTGCCGAAGTTTGTATTAGTATTTATGTATACAGGATGTTGTGGAGTAAATAACCGAGCTATGACTTGTTCCAGCCTCTGTGAAGCAAAAAAAGGTGCTTGTTGTCCCAACGACGCTTCATCGACGTCGTGATAAAAGAATAAGATAAAGAAAACAATAAGTTATCGTCTGATTTGTCTCGTCATACGAAGGTTGTAGCTAGCAACCACACAGACGGGGGTGTCAACCCGTATAGATCTATACACAACGTTTTTCGCTCACAAAGGATTAACGGTTATAACGGAGGACTTTACTAAGTTGATTTTCTTAGTTTGATGAATAAGAGACTCCCCCAGCAATCCCAAGTTTAGTTACCGTTCTAATATTTACGATATTTAGAAACATAATGTAGTACGTTTACCAACTTTAAAGGTAAGTTAATACCGTTTCCCTGTAATGACTTGATCATACGAAAGATAATGTACATATTATTATTAACGAATAATACCCCTTTTTTAAAATTTATTATCGGGCATAAACATAACCGTAAATTTCAAGTTATTTATATAGTTTTGCTAAAGCCTAGTTTATGTCGGGGCATAATTATAATTATATATAGTGGTATGTTAATATATTCACTTTTATTTATAAAACACCCACGTGATTATATCAAGTCAATTTATAGTAACAACACATACATCCATATATATATATATATATATATATATATATATATATATATATATATATATATATATATATATGACTTTGTTTTACAAAGTGAATCTTATAAATGTCCATTTTTTTTATAATAATACATGTATATCTTTATAAATCATCATACATCATACATCATACATACTTATAATACTAGCATTTTTCCTTGAACATCATGCATTTGAAACCCCCATAAAAATTTGCAAACACCTCATGCATTTGAAACCTCCTATTTTAATGAATATCACTCAAAAGTCTCTTAATAATGATTAACAATTCAAAGGTTTTATAACTTATATAATATATTTAATAAACAATTAATGGATACTCTACTATAAAAAGGCCAATCTTTTTGAGTAGACACACAAATACAAATCACATACAAAATTCACAAATAAAACAAGTTTAAAGTTTTTTGTGTTGGTTTGAGGGCTTTGAACAATTTTTCGAGCCATGTTATTATGTTGAAGTTTTTAATTTGTAAGTTTGTTATATACTAATTCTTTTTTGTATTTTCTTGATTTAAGTATTCTTTTAAGAATATCATTGTATGTTCTGGTTGAAACTTTAATGTAAATTAGATTAGATTCATGTTATCGATCATATGTTATGGAAGATGATATATATAATATTTCATTAACTATTGTATTCATGTTTGTATGTTCATGTTGCTTCAAAACAATAATTAATTAAAAATCATGGATATGTCATATTATCCATATTATCCATGTAAGCCTTTTTTAAAATGCAAATTGTCTATCTTATCACTTTATATTTTAGTATATGTTTAACATTTTAATTATAACAATAGGTGTTTTTTAAAAGTTTCTTTCAATTACTAATAATAACAAGTGGTTTTAAAATTATTAAGCAATAATTATAAATAATAAAATCAAATTACATGGATATGTCATATTATCCATGCAAGTCTCTTTTGAAATGCAAATTGTCTATCTTATCACTTTATTATTTAGTGTATGTTTCACATTTTAATAATAATATTAAGTGTTTCTTAAAAGTCTTCTTTAACTTATTATTAATAATAAGTGGGTTAAAACTAATGAATAACAATTTTAAATGATAATAACATCAAATTATAAATTACATTTAGCTATAAATAAATTGTATTATAAATGAACATCATTATTGAAATTAGAAAATGATTGCATAAGTAAAAATATAATTAATCAATAATAATAATTGTTAAAAATAATACAAAATAGATACTTATATTTAATTCTATTAATGAGGAATGTGGGTTGATGTCAATGAATATTATTGTTCAAAATAATAGAGATTATATAAATATATATATATATATATATATATATATATATATATATATATATATAATAGTATAAAAGTATTATCTCAAAGTTAATGTCAATAACATAACCATTTTAAACATATATTTTTCAATATTTTAACAATATATTTTTAATCTTCGCTGCCCAACGCGCGGGAATTCGTCTAGTTTCATATAAATTCTAACATGAAATGAATTGTGGTACGTCTTTGTGATATGTTTAAGAAAGCAGTTTCAAATATTTAATATTCGCATAAAATGGAATATAAACCCAAATATAACATAAATTGTAAATAAACTTAAATAAGTGTTAAGGAGTTTAAATGACATAATTGGTCATGTGTATTCTCCCCCATAAATTATTTAAAAGGTCAAATGGGGCCGTAGATACTCACCCTCGCTGCGTATCTTTAGCTGTTTCGAGGAAAGCTCGTGAGGTTTCTGGGTTCACCAAAGCTTGAGTTTTGAGTGTAATATTTAGGAGAGTTTTTGGAAAGTAAAAAAAACGAAGGAATGGAGTGAGGGCGGGTTGTCACGGGATGACTCTTTTAGACTAGTAACTACCGTGTGCCACTTAGTGCTTCTCCGACTAAGTCAGGCTAACTTCGACGATCTGGATGTACTAACGAACTTAGGAAGCAACAGTTACGGCAAGGTACACTTCAAGAAAGCTTCTATTATATAACTCAACTTCTTTACAAGGCAACTTCTCGATGGATCCTACAAATGAGACATCCTTCCTATTTATAGGTACCTTACACCTCCTCAAATGGAAGTTTCAAGGTCCCAGTTATTCTTGACTAATCTAGACTTATCCTTTTATATATATGACCTTTACAAGACTCTAGAATATGGTATACTTGTCTACGATGCTCTAGAAATCTCTAGGTCGTCCCGACATTATCCAGATCGCTCTTATATGATCTAGCGTGTTCTAGATCGTTCCAAAGTCTTCCGGGTCGTTCTAGATTCGTCTAGTGCCTTCTTGATTATTCCGGAGCGTTCTCCTTTGTTCCACGGACATCTAAAATATTCTAGCATCTTCCAGGGTCCCGTAGAGCATTCTTGATCTCTCCGGAGACTTCTCGAGTATACTTGATCGTTCTGGAGTTCTCTAGATGATCGTGGAATTTTCCAGAAACTTGGTCCGTGACAGGGTGGTCCATATTTATAGAAGAGAGGAGGTGTAAATGGTTACAATTATTCGGCAAGCTTTGATGAAATTTCGATGTACTTACCACTTGCAACTTAATGTCTTTAGTTAGTTAAAGGTAGAGTGGTAACTATTTAGTTGGGATAAATTTTATTTTAGTCTAGTGATCTAAGGAATGAGATGGAGGGTGATACTATGCAAGTGGTATAGCTTATTTGATGTCATGTAGTCAAGTTGCCTAGAAGTTTCTTTATTTGTTTATTTATTTGTTTATCTAGAATATGATGTATTTGATGAGAGATAGGGGTATAGGTTTTGAGTTTTTCCCAGGTGATAGAATAGTTAAATTCCTTATCTTCAATATATATTTTATATATATTCATTCATATACTCGTGTTTTGGCATTTATTTACTAACACCACACTTAAAATTTTAACTATATATATATATATATATAT